TGGCAGGTCAGATTATTACTACAGTATTGCAGTTACTATTGAGTTCAGTTGCAAGTCCACAACGTTTTAATCTGTATTTCAATTTGTCTCCTTTTAAAATCCTTTAGTGAAATTTTCATTATTCTCGTATGTATGTATTAACAAATCTATTTATTCCATGTTATTAATAAAATTTCACACGTTAAGTTAGCTCATGAAGTGTATTCATAAAGTGACGAATTATCCAACTTGAACAGCTAGAAACGCCGATTCGTTGTGATCAAAATACTGTCGCATATCAACAAAGCGCCTTAAAGCTGCTATAAATTTGTTGAGACGGCTAATATCAATTCCAGCCAGTGAGTCTAGTTCGTAAAAGGTAAAGGACCTTGGAGGATGTCCGGCGTGAGACCCAATAAGACAGTATCCAGTGAAAATTTCTATCATTACGGTGATATGAACCTTACTAGGGACTAGTAATTCAGTGGACCTCTTACGTCCCATTTTGATTCAGGAAAATATAACTTTTGCACAGGTGCTCGTTGTTAACTAATGCTTTCTGTGCTCACACTAGATTCACAGAGCCAGTGCTAAAGTACAACAGCCTTGCGGAGTACCTACCCAGCATGAGAACAGCAACAACATCCAACTAAACTTTTTTACATATATTGTACATAAGTGTGTACGTATATAATAAAACAGCCATTAAGCAAGCAAAATTGTAACACCTAATGTAAGTGCAAGTGGTACACACATATTCACGTTAGAATGACGATCGAATCTTGGTCCAAGATTTGATTTTCGAAAATTCGCATATTTATGCTCTTGCAACATGTTGCCACAGAGTATAATAGTTTTGTTCACCTAACGGTTTGTATAACCTAAAACTAACCGAGATATATATGGAGTTATACATGTACAAGTATATATACATAAATTACCACAAATAAACAGACGAGTCGAATTCCGAGTAACTGTTTTTTCGTCCGTCCGTCTGTCTGTGCAAGCGATAACTTGTATAAAAATTGAAATATCTTCATGGTACACAGGTTCCTTGGCACCAAATAAGGATTGGTATTGCAGATGGGTAGAATCCATTTCCACGCCCATAAAACGCCATTAATGGAAAACATATAAAGTGCCATTAATAGGTTCCACAATATGATACAAGGCTGTTATTTAGTACACAAATTGCATTAACAAAGGGCATTTACGAGTATGGTTGAAAAAAAAAATTTTAATGTGGGCGTGGATCCGCCCTCTAATAAGTTTAATGTACATACCTCCTAAGCCTTTTAAGCTATAATAACCAAATTCGTTCAGAAGAAATATTTTTGGCATCCCTACTCATCATGTGAAAATGGGAGAGTTCGCATTGTAACTCCGCTCATTTTTCATATAACGATTGTGTTAAAAGCTACTAAAAGTGGGATAAATCTATAACTGAATATACCAGAGGCATAAAATTTTATACCCGAGCTGGTAGAAATGAGCTTTATAGGCAATATATTAATTTTAGCCTTCCGATTGAGGTTATATCAAATATATCTCATGTGAAGATGATTTTAGTATAATTTTTACTGACGGGAAGTAAAATATAGCAAGAAAATTAAGACCTTCAAGAAGATACCAAATTTGATTGTAATCTATTCACGATTTCGTCGAACAACACAGTTGAGCCCTTTCGCTTACTTTTTTATACTCTTGCAACATGTTGATATAGAGTATAATAGTTTTGTACACCTAACGGATACTTGTATCACCTAAAACTAATCGAGTTAGATATAGGGTTATATAGTGGAAATTTGCATGTTTGTTTGTCGATCCTGCCGCCTGTCTGTCTGTCTGTCCGTACAAGCTGTAACTTAAGTAAAAATTAAGATATCGTTATCGGACCACTGCCACGCCCACAGAACGCCATTAAACGATAACCTATATAGTGCCATAACTTAAGCTATAATAACCAATTCGCTCAAAATAAATCTCTAAACACCACTACCGACACTATAAAAATGAATGAAAACGGATGATAACCCTGCCCACTACCCCACATTAAATTTTACACCCGGGATGGTATGAGGTGGCTTTATAGGAGCTGGGATCGAAATAAGACGATGCGCGTGGCACCGCCCACAATTTTATAACACAACTTTAAATTCCATCTCAATCTTTCAGTTTCCAAATCCAAATCAAGCACCAATAAATGTATCGGGATTAAATTTTACACGCATAGTGCGCTTACAGTAAGTCACTTTATGACCAAAAGTTGTCAAAATCGGAAAACAACTTTTCAAGCCCCAGATACCGAATATGTAAACCCCAGTTCCTACGGCGAACATTTTATCGAAAATATCGATCAATCTGTGAGATATGTTTATGAAATTCGGAGCAAATCCTTTTCTGATAACAGTATGCCTGTATGTCAAAAATGGGTTGAATTGGATGAAGGCTACTCTTAGACGCCATATACCTTAGACAATGATTTTCGAATATCGGCTGACTCTACTTCATATATATTGGTGAATGAAACTCAGCATATTTTTAGTATGTGGTATGTTAATAGTATGTGGTATTACCAAAAATATATAAAATCGGGTTAATACATCTCTTAGACCCCTTACACTTAATATACAATTTTCATATACTACAGGGTCCGGCACTCGAAGTGTAACCAACTTCAGACCGTTGGCACAGCTATGGTGCAGCCATCAGCTGTCTATAAATTGGCTAAATGCCAGTTGTAAATATTGTTTACAAGTATTTTGCCAAAAGTGGACGCAAAAAAAGTGATCGGCGATGGAATTCAAACGTAATAGTGTAATTGCTTAATATTTAGCTGAAAAATCACAGCCAGTGATTGTTTATGGGCTCAAACAACTTAATGTGAATAAAGATTTTGTTTATCGTATCATAACTCGTTATAGTAATATTGGTAGCATCTCAAAACTCCATGGAGGTGGTCATTAAAAGACTGCAACTTAACGGGAGATGGTACTAAAAGTGAATAAGCGATTTGAACGAAATCCACGACGAAGTGCCAATCAATTGACTAAAGAACTGAAAATATCCGACCGCAACATCCGACGCATATTCAAAAATGAGCTCAATGTCAAACCTTACAAGTTCCAAAAGGCCCATGATCTCACACCGAAGCAGCAACAAGTTAGAGCGAAGGAGTTGCTTCGCTTGGCCGAAAGCGGTCAAATTCCGAACATCGTGTTGACTGACGAAAAAATTTTCCAATAGAGCAATATATAAACTCTCAAAACGATAGGGTTTGCTTGACTGACCGTTCATACGAAAATTTGAGTCATCGGTTGATTACCAAGAGGCAATACCCGTCACAAGTAATGGTTTGGGCTTTAACCGCAGATGGGCGCTATCCAATCGTTTTCATTGGGCCTGGTGTCAAAGTAAATGCTGCTTTGGATGTTGTTTTGAAGCCGTGGGCAGACAAAAATTTCGGTCACAGACCATGAACGTAAAAAGAAGACTCGGCACCGTCTCACAAAGCGCAAGTGAACCAAGAATGGCTGAAAACAAACGCTCTGAATTTCATTGCGACCACACAATGGCTCTCGAATTCACAGGATTATTCTCTCTAAGCCATTTTGGAGAGCAAGTTAAAAAATACACCAGCATCGAGACGCTGAAGAATGCCATTGTCCGTGAGTCAAAATACCGGCAAGTCACATTCGGACAGCTTGCGATTCGTTTTTTGACCATCTCAAGGTCATAGTAAATGCAAAAGGTGGTTATATCGAGCAAAATTAAATTGATTCTGAATTTTTGATTATTTTCACACATTCTGTACAAGGAAGTAAATAAAAATAACTATCCAAACCGAATTTATGGCCTTTTTAAACTTTTACACTTCGAGTGCCGGACCCGGTACATATGTATGTATAAGGATTTTCGTTTTTCTAACAAGCCTTATGACGAATATGTCGTTTAGTGTGCGAGTTATATAAATATTTATAAAAGTACTTGACATTTTTTTTTCAAGTATATCTGAGAAATGTTCAAGTCGTGTATACAATCCTTTCTCTGCCCCCAATATACCATATATGGTATAATGATTTCCGACTTCCCACCTGTCTTTAAACCGTTTAGGTTAGTCAAAATGTGTGATATTTTAATAAATTTAAGTGGACAAGCTTTTTTAAAAATTATGTGGCTTGGCGCTGAATATGAATGGAATTCGTTTAGATCTTAATATAATCAATTCCGATCCTCTGGTTGACGTTTTGCACATCAACTCAATATATTAAATTTAGCCTCTTCGGTTGAGCTTATATCACATATTTCTCATTTAATAAAATTTTCGTTGACGCGATTAAAGTATATTAATAAAATCAAGGGAGTACATGACCTTAAATATAAGTGTATAAGATATCAAATTTGAATGTTAACCATTGACAATTTCGTCGAATAATTAATGTAGAATTCTTTCGCACCATTTTTTGAAATAAAGTTTTGCCAAAAGCTATAAGTGTTTAGCCGGTTTTGATCGTTGCAAGTTGCAAGAGTATAGAGTGTTCGGTCACACCCGTACTAATCTCTTCCTTACTTGATTATTATTATTGAGTTTTACGATCAAAAAATCATAAATAATTATTATTTTTGATTTTTATTTATTTTGCTCAAATTATAACTCACTTTAGATCACATGTTTCCTATAAAGTGTTTTGCTAACTTGGTTGCATGCCCTTTTAGATCAAAATCATATCTTCTTTTTCTCTTTTGTGAATAACACAAAAATTTGGTAAGACATTATTATTTCGATGAACTCGTTGCAGCTGCAATCGTATTTGCCGACAGAAAATATAGTCAAACCTGGTTAAGAGAGAGTTCCTTAGACCATGATTTTTTTCTCGCTTATAGAGTTTCTCACTAAAACGACAACACGTTGATTTTTTGTTTAGACATTATAAATTGTTGTAAGAGCTGTACTGTTCGTTGCAAATAATATTTATGAATTGCGGTGAGCATGACACATAAGTTAATACAGTTAAATATTATTTTTTTTAATTATTGTACAAGAAAACAAAATAGTTCCTGATTTCTGAAAAAAAGAATAAGTCATAAATAGGAAAATTGTCGCTTATAGAGGTAAATACAAAAGAGGCTCTCAGTCTCAGCGGGAAAAACGACTGTCACTTATGGAGGTTTTTGTTTCTCACTCATAGAGGTTTTTGAGAGGTAAAAGTTCGGGACCTGAAACGCTTACCCAGTTCTCTCTTCCTCAGGTTTGACTGAACTTTTTGAATAACTTTCATGTTTTGGATCTGATAGCGATAAAATTTTCGATTGTCATGCAAACCAGGTATGTACTATATGTATCCTGTGTGTGAAATTTCGAGACTCTAGCTCAATAATTACGCTTGATATTCGTTTTTTTTTTTAATTTTCGGAGGGGCGGAAAGAAGGTATGGCAATATCATACCATAAATTTGATCCTTGAGTTGTGTTCTAAAAGTAGCGGCAACGAAATTAGCAAAAAACTGCATAAGAATCCTGTGAGCTAAAAATTAGTTTTATTTTGAGTAAAAAAAATCACGAAAAATTATTATTTATGATTTTTATGTTTTTTGTTCAAAATAATGATTATTTGTGATTGTTATTTTTTTTCAGGCAGTCCACAAACATCTCATCTCTATCTTGAAACCAGCAACAATAATACGTGTTAAAATCATTGAGCGCAACAAAAGTTATTTTCGGCAGAAATTTATATTTGAGAAAACTATGAAACAACCGAGCCAGTTAGGATATGGCTACATTTTAGATAAATATCTGATCCTGTCAACTGCAGACAAGCAAAATATTTGTAAACTGCATTTACCCTTTAAGTTTAACAATCTTAAATATTTTCATTTGTCTTTTGAACATTTTGTAGCTTGTAATTGTTGAATATCGCTTAGTATAACGGTTTATATATATCTTTTGTTATTTATTACATTTTTTAATTTAATCTTTAGTTAAGTGTATGCTCCTCACTATATATGTAGCTAAATATGTTTAGGTATATGTAAATGCATACTTTAAATACAATTATTATTGTTTACTTACTGCGAAAGAAGAGAACTGCAATTGCTTTAATAAGAATTATGCTCAACAACCTCATTGTTCAGAATTAAAATAACAACTGAAGGTGTGCGAGAAGAGTATATGGATCTGGAAGCGGAATACGAGTATATAAATCTTAATGAGCGTACTTTGATTGTATTCAAGTTTAGTCATATACATATATATGTTTTTTGTTCACATGTATATTATAATTTACAGTGTTCATATGCAAGGTCGCATTTAAGCGGGATGATATAGACCATTGTAAAATACAAGTATATAAAATGACATAGACCTCAAATAAAAATAGGATGTAAGATGGAAAAATAAGTATTTCTTTTCATTTACCTTTTGGTAGTTACCGCCGGCAAGTAGTCTTAGAGTATGTACTTGTCTTGGTGGGTAGTTGGCTCCAATACCGCTCAAAACAAAAAATATTTATAAGAAAAGGACTCTCGCGGCACTAAAAAATCGTAATTAAAACCATCAGCCCTTCGGTGACTTAAAATATCGGTCATCATCGACACGTTTATTACAAATAGTAGCTCTCTTTAGAAAAAGACTTAAGCTATTAAAAAGATAGTATGGATACGCCACCACACAGAGCTCGGATTCAATCCCAGTTTGCTTTCCTGCATTTAAAAAGTAGGTCATTGCAATTGTAGGATAAGTGCTGATATACATCCAACACCAATTTGAGGATAAAATTGATCAAATAACTTGCAAGAGATGTAAGCAAATTGCATTAAGAATCCGGCAAGAATAAGTTTTTAATAAAAAAGAGTTGAAAAATAGTCGTTGGATTACCTCTATAGAAAACCGACACCCAATATTTCTCAATATTTTTTTATTATCCCTACATGTTGCACAGAATATACTAATTTTGTTCACCTAACGGAAGTAATCGATATAAATATAAAGTTATATATGTATGTTAAAATTATTGGGATGATGAGAGGAATTGCAAGCGAAAAACTGATAAAATGTTTTAAATTGAGATATCTTGAAGAAACTTGATACACATGGATGGTGGAGATGGACAAAATCGGTGCATTGTCACGACCACAAGATGCTGTTAAGCAAGATATTTTATTCGATCGATTTTCTGAAAGTAAAGCATTCTTCATTACTTAAAATTAAAAAAATTAAAAAGGAGTGCTTTAGAGTTGAAAATTTAATTTTTCCGCTTCCACTTGCAACTTCCGGGCAACCGGAAATGTAATGAAATTTTTATACCCTGAACAGGGTATATTAAGTTTGCCACGAAGTTTGTAACACCCAGAAGGAAACGTCGGAGACCTTATCAACAATACATATAAATGATCAGGGTGATAAGCTGCTCGATTTAGCCTTGTCCATCTGTCTTTCCGTCTGTTTTTTGTATATACGCTAACTATTCATTCAGTTTTTGAAGTTGCTCATTTGTCGAGCCGCCGATATCGGACCACTATATCAGATAGCTGCCTTACAAACTGGACGAACAAATGAAGTTTTTATATGGAAGAGTTATTTTTTGACAAGATCTCTTTCCGAAATTATTGTAGTTAACAAAGTTAACCTGCCAACCGTATCATTTGTAAACCACTAAAACATTTCTTTGTCTCTGCTCTAGGCCCTCTGGCGATTTGAAGATTTTGCTGCGGCTTTGGCACAAATGCGATGTGCATGGAGTGCGAACTGGGCAAAATAACATGAAGTATACCAAAAGTCATATCATGAACTCGTCTGAATATAATGTAAATGATAGTTAATGTTTTCCGTTGGATGCAAACAGTTAGCCGGTTACGTTTTCAGATGAATTATAAATGTTGTTGCTGTAAGAAATGTACCTGTAAAGGATATTATATTTTCGGTGCAGGCGAGGAAAACAATTTTTTGTTTAGTTTTTGTCAAATAGCAAATAAATATCCCTTACATAAAAGTAAAAAATTGACATTGTTATCACTAGAGCAATGTGCTGCTGTATATTTCTGCTGCGTATGCGCCAAAAGGCTTAATACAAATTCCACCTCGGTTAGGTGTAACACATGCAAAGGTTAAGTTCATCTTAAGACCTGTTCAAGCTTTAAGTAGGTCGTCTACCTTCGAGCTTCGGGAATATTTTTGACGATGGATAAAAAACAACACAAAATTATTTGTATTTCGTTAATTAATTCTTAAACTTGAATATAGAAAATAAAATCAATTTATGTATCAAAACTCAGCCCTTGACACGTCCTTGAATGCATCACTCCCGGTGCGAGGTTGTCAACTTCTTGGCAATAGATTTGAGAAACTTTAGACCCAAAAATTTTTTTTTACATAATGTTTATAACCCCAGTTTTGACAAGACACAATCTTTTTTGAACATTTAAATGTAATGAATCGTGCTAAAATTACAAAAAAAAAAACACTATTTTTGGGAAAACCAGCTAAAACGTAAATAGTCAGAGCGGGGCCGAGTTTAGATTTCGATATCTCGTTTTTTATAGGGCATGCTTCTGGTTATGTAAATATGTACAAAAAAAGATTTTTTTAAACCTCGAAGGTAGGCGACTTAAGATAGATACATACATTGGTAGTGGACCACAAATTATGTGATCCCGAGCTGCCAACGTATAACTGCCACACTTGGCTCTACGGCAATACAAATAGCACCTAGTGTCTAGACCTAAGTGGCCAAGAAAGGACTTTTACAATCCTAAGGAGCTCAACTTCCAGTCTGATCAGCCCCACCACCATACAGCTCAGATCTTCCTAGTTTAGGTTTCAACGTATTACGTAAAGATCGCCAGCGATATTATGTTGGTCTAGCCTTCTTACTGCACAACTCTGTGCAAAATTGTTTTATGGATGGCGACATCGAAGGCTGTCCCGTCAGGCGATGTCAAGCTGGAAATACTTCATATATATAATTCCCCCCAGTTATATGTTGCCCAACAGGATATCACCTGAATATAGGAGCGTTACTTCGTTATGGGACGATATGCGACTTTAACGCGCACCCCGATCTTTGGTATTCTAGCCTGTTAAATGATCGTGGGGGAACGGCTGGTGGAACAGACTCGACATTCTACACAATGAATGACGAAGCCTCCCAGCCAAGAACAGAATTATGGGAACTTTTAATAGCTCGCCTGATATTACCATCGCTGGTGGTGATCTGATAAATAGTATAACCTGACTTATGTTAACTCTTACATTAGACCATCTGCCTATAATTATCTCGATCGAGGAACCCTCTTCTTTATTTCTGGGAATAACCGTACCTCCGTTAACTTCAAAAAAGCTGATTGGGTCAGCCTCACAGAATTCACCGAGAACATCTTCGCCGCACTATCCATTTCTACAGACGTAATCGTTGACGAACGTCGAATCCGCAAGGTGACCGCTCACATGATTCCCTGATATCATGAACAATTTCCCAGCCGAAACAACTATTTTAGCAAACGAGCGCGACACCTTACGCCAGATCGATCCATATGATCCCCGCATAAAGGACCTCAATTTTAAAATTCAAGAACTTGTAGATCAGCATAACCGGATGATTCCCTTCGATCTAAAGACGTATTACCTGATAGTATTGAAGACATTTGAGGGCTTGCTACTCCCGACCTGCACACACCATCTGAGCATAGCAAATCACCAACATGGATTGTGTGAAGTGCACAGTACCACCACAGCACTTAACGTCATAAACGCCAAGCAGTCGTCAATCATCCGTACTATTTTGAGGTAAAAATTCTAAGTGAGTGAAGAATTAAAATTGGGGTTCGGCAGGGTTGTGTCCTCTCCCCGTTATTGTTTAATTTTTTCAAATCGAAACTTCCACAACAACTAAAGATAATTTCAATTACCTCATGTGCTGATGATTCCACGATACTGACGTCGGGCATTGGAATCGATGACAAGTATTTAAAAGTGAATACCATATGATCGCGATCATTGCCAAAGTACAGAGCCACAACAAGATTGAGAATCGCTAACCGACAGCAACTGGGGCAAGCATAAACAAACATTGCTGGCCACTTACAAGACAATCAGTTAACCGATCATAAATTATGCAGCAATATGATCGCCTGGATGTAGCAGGACGCAGCTGAATAAAATTCAGACATGACAACGCCGCAATATTGAACACCTGCACAATGAGGCCTGTTTCCTGGACCTATCGTTAAGTGTATTCGATGATAGTTAATTTTATGCTTTCCTCGAAACAAGATCTAGGTATCCGCTACAACAACATCGTATATACATACGTATTTTCCGTGCTAACCTTTATGCCAAGGGCCTTGGTAGTCTTCTACACCTGGTTACACACACTTTTTCGACCTTCAAATAAACTCGAATGGTGTTCCACATGGACAACAACAACATTGGAAACATGAATATGCATTTGGTTCATTGGTTTTGGAGTTTATAAGATGTAGATACCATCATAAGTAAATACAATTGTTTATTTTAAATTACAATTTATTATAGATTTTTTCTTAAATACATTCAATGATATCCATATACATTCACTGTTTTTACAAATGTATTTCTCTCCGCAGTATAAATACATCCATAACAAATTTATGATAAATTTTAATGTATTTTATGAGTACTTTGGCATTTTTGCTACTACAACTAATAAAACACAGCTTTTAAATATACACATGTATATAGCTGCACTATTTGTAATAAATGAAAACAATACGGAAATAAACAATTTAAGTACAAATTTTTCAAAAGTTTATGAAAAATATAACAAAATTGGGCTTAAGTACATAATAAAGTTTTTAAACACTATAAATAGATACATAATATAAAAAATCAATTGCATCAATACCATAATATTGTGTGTTGAAAAATTTAATAAATCAAGATATCCATTTAAACATTTTATGGTATATATGTATGTACATTAATAAAAAAATATGCGTCCAGTACACCTTTATATCTGCTCTTTATGTTATAAACATGACACTCGGTGCCGGCATACACATGTATATTAATAATCTCTAAACGAAGTCCAAATCAATATTAGGTCTCTTATAACTATATTGTTGTACTAAATGCTGGTACACTGTACTGCAATATGAAAATGTTAAGATTATATACATTGACATGTTCATGGATTATAAATATATGTATATATATCTATATATGCACTAAAAGGCAAAAAAGTTCCAAAGAGGAAAATTCACGCTGCATTTCGCCGGTTGAAAGACAAGAAACCATTCGTTACGCAGAATTTGGCAACATTACTTTTGTTGTTCTTATAAATACTCAAATATTTTGTTTACAAAAGAATTTTTGAAAATAACGATATTCAATAAGCTTTGATCTTTTTATTTAAATAATAAATCTAATTTTTTGACATCGCCCAATTGTAATAATTTAGCTCGGAATTTTAGAGCATTTATGGCACGAAAAATTTTCTTAAAAATACAAGTTAATTTAAAATTTTTAAACAAGGCGTACTATTCAAAATGTGAATTTTTCGATTGTGCATACATATTAACACAACAAATGTAGAACATACCTTTTTAAATCAGGAAACGTGTTCTCGCAATATTAAAGCGCTATTTAAAGTGGAAAATATTTAAGTATGTAAAAATTTGAAATGTTATTGTTAATTGATCATTTACCTGAGAAAGTACCAATTTTTCCTATTCACTAATAGAGTAAGCTTTTCGCACACATTTACTATGTCGGGTGATTCTGCTTTCTTCATTGCCTGGTTCCGCATCAAAATCTGCACCGTGAGTCGATGATTTAATAAGTGCACAAGTCTTTATAAAATCTATAGTCGAGTAACCAAGTGTAGATTCTTCTTTCTTTTCCAATTGCTCAACACTACCACTATTTTGTTTCGTTGTATTTGTCACATTTGTAATCGTTGCTGTCGTAACAGCCATTGGATTAGTCGTTGAAGTTAGACTAGTATGTGTTGAATCAGTAAGTGATTCTGTTTTTGAACCAGATTTCATACTTCCATCAGCGCCATCAACGGCAGTTAAAGAAAGACCACTTCCAACTTGTAGTTTGGGTGAACATTGTGTCGGACTTCGAGGTTGGTCTAAATCAAGAACAATATAATTGACTGCTTTTGTTCCTGCTGATTTCGTTTGCCTTAATTGTGGATCACAGGGAATATCTATTCCACTATGACTCCTTCCGGGCGTTGAAGACGGCAAATTTTGCTTTGGTAGGATCAACTTCATCTCTTCACGGTTTAGATTTTCATAACAGCGCTCTTGATCGCGTATCATATTACGCATTACTGCTTTGCCACCAAAACCAAAATTATTGGCCGCAAGTGAACAGCTATCAACATTGGCATACATGTGTAATGCATCCGATGGTGGTGTCAGCATAGGCGCAAATTCATCTGGTGGAATATCTAGAGAAGAGTGCTTCACCAAATTTTTTCGAACTAAAGTATTAAATACACCATTGGACGCGTTTGATAAATTATTGTTGTGCTCTACGTGCGACGGCAAAGGATATTCCGAGTACACATTGCTATTGGCGATGGACATAGATGTATTCGGGGTATTCACATACATACCGAGACCAGAAGGAAAACGTGGACTTTGAATATGAACTACTTCGCTTGTGGCAAATGATAAACTTGGAACTGAATCTGGTGAGTCCAAACTTAGAGGACTACTGCTGAATGAATCCCGAAGCACTCGCGAACGCTGTAGAACCGAGACTGCAGCTCCTGTACTTACTAATGGTGCAGGTTCCAAATAGTTATTTGCATTTTGAACATTTTCTGGTCGACCCACTGTATGTGATGGATGATCACGCTCCCGTTCGCTAAATGTAAATGCATCATCTGTCACAAGGGAAACTGCATTTATATAAGTTTGAAATATATGATACAATTGTTCCGCCCGTTGACAACGAAAAGTATAAATGCCAGGGCCTGTCATACAGCGACGCCCAGCTTCAAAAGAAAATACATCGCCATTAAGCCCATATCTGCGTAGATGTTGCAAAGCCCATACAACACGTTGATTAGACCCGGTACGAAAAATAAGTTCCCTTGGTGTTAATTCCAGATATCCTGAGCGTCCTTGATCTGCCACTTCCGAGTGAAGTCTCACAGCACGAAAAAAGTTTTCGCTTTTTAAATCGCCTAATTTTTTTGTACTGCTGATGCATCCCATTAGACACGTAAAAACGGCTTCGGAATACTAAAGCAAAACATTCTTAAAAAAATTAGCCTGGTTCAGAACCATGAGATGTCAAGTGCAATGTTTCTACGACAAGTCGTACGTCCGTTCACACGCAAGGGTACCAATCGTTTGCGTTATTAATAAAATTACCTAAGGCTTAACCCCAACTTATGCAGTACATAAATATTGAGGGTAAAAAGAATTGTGTATAAATTACTGGAACACATTGACTGTAATATATCTTTCTAAGATTTGAAGAGGTAATATAACTAATCAGTTAATGTTATTTAAAAAATTTAACAAAATATTATGTTGTACTTATGTAAATTGTACCTCTGTAAGAGAAATAATTGCATTATAGGTTTTCCATTCAGAGCTCGGGAATGTCAAAAACAAATAAGACTAAATTAAAAAATGTTTTTTCAGTGTATGGTCTAATATAATTTCTGAAACATGTAAATTTTGCTACATACAATATTCAACTTAGCATCACCATACTAAACATGTTAATAATAAAAAAATAAAGAAAAGCATGAAGGAAGTTGAGATGTAGCGGCAGCATTGTCTTTGCTGTTATTTTTTCAGTTTTACATTTAAAAAAAAGATCTCCTGAATTGAAGTATGTACATATTGTGGCGAACGCGAATGCCAGAACAAATCAGAATCGACAATAAAATGCTAGAACCAACTAGATAGCAAGATTCGTAGTTGCCAGAATGTACGAGTAGCGAAGTTTTGTTAGCAATCTACTATATAAGGGCTGCCGGATTGTGCAGCAAACGCAGTTCTAATTATAGTGTTTCCGTATAAAGAGTAATTGAGCTATAGGCAATAAGTTGTAAACTTGAATAACGAGCAATAATGTGTTAAGTTGTTGGAACTAGAAATAAAGATAAGTGTATAGCATTAAATTGGGACTTTTATTTAACAATCCAATGATCGAACTCAAGAGTGAGTTACAAAGCAGACGATTTATCGAGAAATCCGTTACAATATTATTATTTGGTATTGTTTTCTTTTATTGAGTAAACTTTTATTATAATATTTATCTTAAGATGGCATTAATTATAATAAGTAATTTGGCTAATAACCATTTATAATATATCGAAAGAAAGTTTTCTTCTATAATTTATATCAATGTAATATGACAAAAGTAGACTGTGCCAAATGATCAAGAACTGAGTAACTCTGACAAAAAAGGATTTGATAATATAATTTTCAGATGAGTTCAAACAATATCCTCAATCAATTCGTTCAAGACTGCAAATTTAACATTCCACTTGGCATATATATATATATATGTAATATTTGTAAACACCATTGCATAATTGTTTATATATACAGAGAGAAAAGTGACCGATGGGCACACAGCCTCAGGAATTAAAAAATATTTAATAGTGTCACCAGAGCTATAAAGTTGTACAAGTATATCATTCAGCATATAAATCAATAGCTTAACTTATTAAAAATATATACTCTGTAATGTAGTGTTCACTATAATATAGTGTCAGAAATATGCTTGATCCGTTCGTTAAGTAAATGTAGAGACATTTAAACTAATTAAATAGATCACTAACCGCATTAAAGTGGCAACTATTCGGGAAATGCAACACTGTGACGCTAAAGATATCGAATTCGAGAATTTTTCGAAAATGGAAAGGCGGTGTCGTTTTGTCGCTGCCCTAATGCATTGCCACCTATCACGAAATTAATTTTTGTTCTTAAACTGGAAAGTTAAATAAATACACTGTCGAGTGCATGTTTAATTAATCATTTAGGAATAAAACGGCAAAATTTTTTTTTTTGAAATTATAAAATATTTGTCAAGGTTTAATGAGAGATAGTCTCTATTTATCGCATAACAAAACTGATAACTGCAATTGATAATTTCCTTGTGCATTGTCCGGCAACCCTTATTGGCGTCTTTGTCGTCGCATTATATGCACCGCCTTTGGATCAAGCAAAGCGTTTCAATTCTTCAGTTACGGTCGAAATAAGCAGACATTTTTGTTTGAAACACTGTGAAGTGTGAAGAGAAAACGAATATAGAAAAGAAAGTTTTTGGAGTTGTTTCGAAATTCGGGTGAAAAGTGATATTTATTATAAAGACGCCGAATAGAATTAAGTTTAATATAATCTGAAAGGAGCAGGTAATTAGAAAAATTTGATTTTCAAAATTAAAGTTTTAGAATTTGCTTTGGTTAAGAATGGTATGAAAAGTGAAGTTTATAAAAGGAGTAGTGTATGAGAATTGAAAGAAAATTCTGTATAACGATATGTGTAATTAAAGAAAAAGTTAGCTACCGGAGTGGCAAAGCTATAGCAATGCACTTTCAAAGTTAATACGTTTTTCTTTGTTTAACTGAAGAAAAATTGATGTTATAGTAAAAGTAAATTAAATTACTTCTACCTTTAGTAAGTAGTTATAACCGGAACATTACTAAGTAGCATCGTACTACTAGAAATACAACACGACAAAGTGGATTGTCGACGGACGGCCGTGCAAAAGCCATCTCCACCCCTCCTTGATTCCTGTCGTTCATTATCGTTTTAAGAGCTGTGAAATGTGTTCAATTTGGGTGTGCCTTCCGCAGCTCTGCCAGAGTTGCGGTCGCGTCGTCGCCAAAGGCGAAGTCACAGGCGCCGGTATAGCAGCAAGTTGGATTATACGGCTTTGTTGTTGCTGGTGTATTGCACCGAATTGAAGTCGACCATCGCTGTCGCCTTCGCCTTAATACTTCGTGTGTATTTTCACTCGTTTGTTGCGTCCATATGCGAAGTTCGTTCATTCTACTCGTTATTTATCGTTTATTCGTGCAATCGCTTATTCCTTTTTGGTCCTTTTTGTTTGTGTTTTCTTTGTATTCCTACGATTCATATAAGTATATACTTTTTTATTAAAGAGATGGTGTTGAAATAGCAAAATTTATACAGAGATGAAATACTTGAAACATACATATATGTGTAGTTTATTATGTATATTGGGTTTATGATTTTTTACACATTCAATTATATACATATGTGTATGTATGTATGAATAACTTTAGATAAAAAAATTGAACCTTTTGCAAAGCAAAATAATTTATTAAAATGACTGATCGAAACAATATCATAAGATACATATATAACATTTTCCTTAATTTAATAATGTTACTAACATTAACGTCATATATTGCAATATTTATCGTAACCAGTTACTTACATTCAACAAAAGGGCGTTATTCCTCAAAATAAGTTTCCATACATACATATGTATGTATCCAAGTTTATATGTAATTTGCGCAAAATATTTAGCTAGCTATTTGCATGTAAAAAGTAGAAGTGAATATAGTTAACACACATAGTCAAATAATTATGTATTGGTTCAAATAATGATATTCTTAAATAAAAATATAATTTCATAATTAATAAAAATAACGGCCCAGTATAAGCTGAATATTTATTATGACTATTCATATTATAGGGTAGAGTTACATATAATCTATAGATGTGATTTTCTAATATAAACTAGTTATAGGTACATATGTACCTAAACCACTGATAACTAGAGTTAACTAAGTAGTAAAGATTTGAGTTATTTGCTTGCCGAAACTACACGATTATTATAAAACCCAAAAGTAATTACTCAACATAGTCAACAAGCAACTCCTTACTATTAAAGTTTTAAGTGTACACTCCGTAAGGATTAGAGGATTCTGCTTTGAGAAGTGTAATTTAATTGTTATGTTGTTGTGCTGTATCGATTGTCTGGAAATTATCTGTAATCGAAGACATCTATGGGGATGTCAAGGAAAGGATTTGTTTTAATGTGGTCGTACAAAAGGGATGGGCGTTGGCACTTCAATGTCTCCATTTGTATATTTAATGTATTTTATTAGCAATTAAAATGTCTTCTTCTGAAATAATTGATCTAATCCTAAAATTTCGGATATGTTTTACCTGTAATCGATTCCTAAAATATTTATCTTTTAAAACACCATGATGGTAGCTCTGTTTCATTTTATTGTTATTTTTGTTGACGTGACAAAAAAATAGAATCAAGGATTAAAAAATCAATTAAAGACGTTATTTAGTAAAAATTATATTGTGAGTATATAATCTTAGAATATTTGTTAAAACTTGTTATTTTGTTACAATTAAGTATTATTTGTAGAAGAAATGGGCCAAAGAAAGCCCTGCATCGCGGCAGAGCTGAAGTTTATAAAAATTCGTAAAATAACCGTTATATCCAAAAGGGAATTTCAAAAATTATATAATACTTGTATATATAAGATTCCAAAAAAGTCCCCAATGTTAACAAAAAGACCACGGAACAATACGATTGGCTTTGCTTCAGCGAATATCAATTGGACCGGTCAAGAAAATAAATATGGCAGGTGGCGATGGGAAAGATGGGTTCGACGTCCGAAGAATGTTGAAATGAATCCCCTCTCGACGACAAAAATATGTAATGGGGATGTTTTTCGTGTTACGGAGTTGGGCCGCTGTTTTGGATTTGGGAAATCATGGACCATTATCACTTGGCCGGATAAAGAAATCCGTGTCCGTTTCGGAACTGTCTTGGGAACGGATGAAATGCTTCTTTACTTTGGTTTGGCAGTTCCAGTATAACTATAACCCGAAGCATATCTGTTGTGTGGTCAAGACTTGGCTGTGGAAGATGGTAAAGGAAAATTTGAGACCCATTAAACCACGAAATAAGGAAGAATTATGGATAAAAGTCCAAGAGGCGTGGTATTCAATACCGATTTCAGTCTGTAAAGCTCTAGTGGAAACGCCGGAAAGTGCGCCTGTAAATAAAGGTTTTGCAACAAAATTGTAACTTATGTATATGGACTTTTTTAAATATAATAGTATACTACTTACTAGTTTTGGTTCCATGATTCTATTTTATTGTCAATTGAAATTTCTGACAGTTCCTTTAAAAGTTGTCTGCTGATAATACTGATCGATTAAACCAAGTTCCTGTATAAAAATTTTGTTACTTGCGAAGGGTATTTAGCTTCGGTGCTACCGAAGTTAACGTTTTTTTTTGTTTTAAGAGTGTTATTAAATACCTAAGTATGTATGTTTAATTTATGTTTCTTGATATTTGTATGTTTGAATATTAATGAGTAATGTGGGACTGTGGAATATACAAAAAAAAAACTTTTTGCAAAAAACGATTAGTTTTAGTTTCTCCTAATCTAGTAATTATACCAGCAACGAAAGTTTCATTGCTAAAACAATAAAACACAAAAAACTGTAAATCATGCGGTATGTATGTACATATGGTATATACATATGTTTATTAATTATTAACCCTTATTAAACCATCACAGATAATAAAGTTTTACTTCAATGTTTTTTTTAGCCATTGATGTATGAACTTATAATTTGTGTGTAGATACACCTCATATGTATATGTTTATACCAAATTTATTTAAAAGCTTATACATATAAAGCCTTATACACATAAGGCTGATTACACAAACAAGATTGTAATGTGATCAGTTATATTAATAAACAACTTATGATCTAGAAACGATTGGATATATTATATTGTTTATCAATAATCTATTGTGGTTGACTTTTTTTCATAGGCTTGAGAATAATGCAGCTCGAACTTGAAAATAATATTGTATCAACCACTTACTTTGTTTATGGTTACATAATTATTTTATGAATTGCATTCTACTTGCCTTGAGATATAGAATTCTGCCCTTAAAGTAAATTCCAAAGTATAAAATTACGATTATAATTAAAATTTCAATACATAAAAATATTAAAAACTATTCATCGGAGTGCAAAATTTAAATTTCATCGGAATTTTTTTTCTTGATTTGAGTAAAGCAATGTGATCATGACATATATTTTTTGTATGTACATATGTGCATATACTCAAATAGCGTAATAATTTTTGTAAAAAAAAATTGTACAACATTCATAAGAAATTTTGAGTTAGTATATTGAAAAAAATATTTAGTGCTCCTTCAGATTTATTGTTGAGAGGTAATAATAAGAGAGGTCAATTGCAAAATTTTAAGATTGATATCTAGTTATAATTTATATTTTTTCTAAAATTGGTTAATTAAAAAAATTTAATTTTTTTGCTGTGCCATTTCTTAGCTGGGGCGAGATTGATTGAGGCTTAGACGTTAGTTATCCGTATATACTATAATAAATACATACATATATACGTGCCACACATATGTGTGTGTACATTTATTATATTGGTCAATGAACGTGGAAGAAAATGCTTTGCGTTGGACTTTTCGCTTACGAGTTCAATCACATGAACTCGTGTGGCATCTATTTGCCGGTTCTAATATGTATGTTTGTACATATGCTATAGATAAATTATACATAAATAGTTATATGTACATACATACATATACAAATATGCGTATATGATCATACATATAGAAGCGTGTTTGTCTTCGTACATTATTTTGACTGCCGGTTAACTTGTCGGCTTTTCTGCTGCTCATATTTTGGCGCTTAACTCCATGTGAAGGTCAATCATATGAAAGTTACGTACTAGCTCCTTTTTTATTTTATTTTAATAAGTTGACAAAACAAAAATTGATGCAACGGTTTTTTGCGGTATAAGCGACATAGGAGGCCTTTGTACTAACTTCCTTTTTTTTTTGCCAATTTATAACTTTAATGAACTGTATTCTTTTTATGATTCCCTACTGAAATAAAACATGGTTATCTTCCAAAAGCAATATGTCAAGGCGGTGTCGTAACGGCAATTAGTCACTATTATGAATATAATTCGTTTTACCGCAGTTTACATACCACATAACGTTTCGTATATAAGCATATAAATAAATATGTATCTATACACATATTTGTTTTATCCACCACCGCAATAGATATCAAAACGGGGAAAATTGAATGCAGCCAACCGGAAGTAGTGGGAATGGTTATGAATTATTGAATAGTATTAGCCATTTTATTTCATATACTGTGGTCAGTCGCCATAAACCAAACAAAAAATAGTATTTTTAATTCTACGAAAAAAGTGAAGTAATAAAGTATTTTAGTGTCAAATATGAAAGTTTCTGTACATATATTTATCAATATACAGTGGGTTGAATAACCGTTAAGCATACATGTTTATTTATACATACATACATAATAATTACAAACACCAACTCGGCCCTGTTTTAAGTAATGTTTTTATTTTTTCCTATTAAAAATGTGCGGTAAATATGCATAATAATTATTTTAAAATGTAGTTTATTTACTAAAATGTGTTCCTCTTGAAAATATATTATTTCTTTCTTGTAATATTAAGGAACATTATTAAATTAGTTCTAATATTTGGAAACTTTTATTTTTAGGCTTTTTTTAAATTTTCTCTAAAAAATTGTAACGAGGAAAGTATTTTGGCAGATTCTCATAAAGTAGAGTAGTATGTATTGTATCTACATATATGAATAAACATACATAAATATGTACTTATGTAGTATAGTAAAGCGGATATTACTATTTGAATACTTCCTAAATGGTTATGATAAATTATGTTGAGAATTTAAAGCAATAATTCATAACAACGACGAAGAATGGGCAGCAAAAAAAAAAAAGAATGCACTCTTGGCAGCGCACTTCATAATTCTTTGATATTGTAGACTCCGTAGACTCAAGCACTTTTGATGCGGCTTTTGATTATTAAGAATCTCCTATATCTACTTTTTTAGTTCCTACATATATGAATATATCTAATGAAATGAATTATATGTGAATAATTTTAAAGAAATAACTATATTTAATATATGTACAATATACAATACATTTTATATATGTTTGTACATATATACATACATATGTATTCGTTTATAAATACTTTCGTTCAAATTTGTCAGGGTTGAAGTACAATTTTATTTATTATTTTTTTCTTATACAAAACTAACTACTTTGAATAACAATAATGTCAGATGCATAATGGACGTAAATTTACAAACACCACAAAGTGTCGGAAATTAAGTAACAATGGAGATATGTATATCATGGCCTGTGACCACTAGAAATACAATTATCATTGTTATTTGATATGATATTATTGTGTGCCGACTGACATGTAGAATGAAATCATTTGAAGAATTTCGATTTCTCCCGTTATTTTTTTCAAAAGCTTTATTAATCTACAAGCCGTATAAAATAAATTGATTGCTTTTTGTTGAATCGAGCTTTTAAACTAACTTTGTTTTGTAAACGTCATTTTTATCTTGAGGTTTCAATAATTTATATCAATCGTTTTAATCACACTTCATTTCAATTTGATTCTCTTAAAGCAATTTTTGAACTTATTTTAATAAAACAAAAAAAAAATAACTACGAATTAACTAAATGCAAAACTAAGTATTATATAAAAATAATAAACTAATAAAAATTTTAATTTACATATGTATGTATTTATTTACGTAACTAAAATCATCAAAAAAACGTAAATATGAATCATGTATAATCAGTTTACTTAAAGGAATGCTAAGTGAAACGCTATAAATTGTTTCGATATTCATTCTGCAAACTCGTTGACCAACACAACTAAATTTATATTTCGGGCCTTCTGAATGCTATGTATAATATGAATGATTGAAGCGTATTTCCTTTCTTTTTATTTGTGTATGTAGTCGTAGAAGTGATTCATTGAATTTTCTCGCCTAAAGGGTGGTTTCTACAGTGAGTCATTTTCTCACCCCAATTAAATTTCATATTACAATTGCTTGATAGCCATTACATGCTAAGTTTTATTTCGTTTATTTTCTCTTAATTAGGCTATACATGTATATACTTTGTAATAATAATGTTACATACACACGTGTAATACTAAAAATAAATGACTCCAATGTAGAGAAATCTTCTTAACATTGTTATTTTCAATTTAATCAGTCGCCTTTTGTAGATTATTTATGAAAACATGTTTCATTTTATTTCTCGCTATTATCTCCATTTACGTTTCATTTTGATACGGAAGTGTAAAATATCGTGGACGGATGAATGTATGTCGCTGCTTGTGTATATGATTGTGCGTTAAATTGAAAAATTAAAAAATCAATACTCAAATAAATAGTAAATTTTTACGGCAAAGAAAAACGCGTTTTGCTGTAAAGTGGGTATTCTATTCATTCTATCTAAAGTGGGTATGTGCATAGGTTTGTATAATAGGCTATATGTTTAAAGTAGAGTAATTGAAATCACCGGAAAATATGTTGAAATATACAACTAGATAAAGAAGCTAGTTAAACAAATAACGAATGGCCAAGTTTGAGTGTAACCGAACATTTTATACTCTTGCAACTTGCAAAGATCAAAGCCGACTAAATACTTTAGGTGTTGGCAATATTAAAAAATGTAGCAAAAGGGTTCAACTTCATTGTTCGACGACATCGTGAATGGATTACAATCAAATTTGGTATCATATAACCTTTTGGTGAAGGTCCTAGACTGCCTTAGTTTTATCACTGTGTTTTATTTTCTGTCAGCGAAAATTAAACTAAAATCATCCTCAAATGAGATATATATGACATAAACTCAACCGAAGAGGCTAAATTTAGTATATTGAGTTGATGTGAAAAACGTTCCCAACCAAGTCGGGTCTACGTAACCGGAACGGGCGCGGATTTTTTCCGACCAAGTACTGTCAACTCGGCAAAATTTTGCCACTACAACAACAACAACATGTAAAAACGTCAACCAAAACATTGATATTCATTATATTAGTAATATTGGGTTTAGACCAAGACCAATTCCTTTAAGAAAACGTGTCCACTTAATTTCATTGAAATATCACACACCGAAAAGTTGGATATCACTATACAGGGCATATTTGGGGCTAATAAATGGAAGGGCTGATTGCATTAATTTTGGACATTGCTCAGATATACTTGAGAACTTATTTTCAAGCAATTTTATAAATACCATGTATATTATTAGGCCAAAAGGGGTTTGCACTGTTGCGCAAATTATCAACTCGGTGTGTCAGACTACACCGATGTTTATAAGAAATTGTAAATATATACATGCGCAGACTTACATACATATCGTACATTCTTTTTTGTATGTAATATGATTCATAGTATTTGAAGACATGATATACCTACATATGTACATATATATCATTTAATGTATTATTGTGTTGAAGGTCCATATACTATGTACATAATTAGTGTAATACATAGAGTTGAAAATGCATGCCTTGCGATACGATTGAAACAAAGAGTCATGTACTCGTATTGCAATTCGTAATCAATTAGGCAGCAGGCATTGCGGGCTATAGTTTATTTACATACATCCGCTCTGCTCTACAGACACTTGAGTTTAACGAATGCGTGATGCATCTTGTACACTAAAGGCATACATACAAATGCAGAAATATATTTTAGTAGTTTGTGTTCACATTTTTACAGCATTCTCTTACAACAAGTTTGTGGCCTGATAAGAAACTTACAAAGCCAATGAAATTATATTGTTTTTTTCTTTTTATTATTTTTTTTTGTTTTTAACGATTTACAAAATGTATTTTCGTCTGCTGGTAGATATTTTTGTTTATCGAAATAGTCTATTATAAATAAAATAGCCTCATTTAGAATATTGCCAGTTTGAATGGTTCTATGATACTGGGTGCATTTGAATTTATCTCTAATGCGTTTTAGTACATTTGTATTTGTTATACATATTTCAGGCGTCAAAAAGACAATATGGGTAAGACTCAGAGCAAACGTTCAGTTGATATAACCACCGAAACCAAGAAAAATCCAGATGAAGATGTTACCGGCAAGTTGGAAAAAATTGAAGATCTCGATCAAAAGCAAGTGAATGGCGATGCAAGTTCTCAGGAGAATGTTGAAACGGAGGTATATAACAAAATATATATTCAGTCAAATATATGAACATACACTTGTGTTTAAACTTACAATCGGGATTGCAATTTTCGTATTTAGGAATTTAAAAAAATTTTAATCCCAATTTTTTAATTGAAGAAAAATCAGAATCTCAATCTTTGGGCTTAAAAATTGATATATTATATTTTAATTTAAATGTAAAATTTAATTTTGAATTCCAAACATCTTGGATTAAAAATTTAAAAATGAAAAGCTGGGATAAAAATGGAAAGATTTACGTATGTATTTCTAACTGAAACACTAGAATTAAAAACAAATAAATATAAATAAGACAAAAAGAGCTAAACAATATTGATATATTATTAAAAAAAACTAACTTTTTAAAAAGACAACCATTGTTGTAGAACACGAAGTATGCAAGGGCGAAAAAGTTTAAATGCTGAAAAACTGTTTTTTTTTTTAATTTTTCATTATAAGCTTGAGATTAAAAAAAATATATATATTTTTCAATCTGGTATTTAGGATTACATTTTTTTTATTTTTCATTCTGGTATATCAGATTTAGTTTTTTTGTATGCTTCAACTGGGTATTTGGGGTTAAAATTTTAAAATTTAATTCAAATGTTAATTCAATTATTTTCTTATGCACTATTTTAAATTTTTAAATATTTTGAAAAAGTACATATGTAGATATGTGTATGCATATCATAAATTTATATGGCCAATTTTACATCAGGATTAAATTTCATACTCGTTTATTTTATATTGAAAGACAAAATATTTATTGTTATTGTTTTGATTTGAGGCATTACAGAAAAAGGATGGTGATGAAACTGAAAATGACAAAGACTTGACAACCGAAAAGAGTGTTGGCGATAATGATAATGGTGCACAAGATGGTGGTGGTGATAGTAATACGGGACAAAGTAATGCAAGTGCTGCGGAGTCTGCTTCTAAGGAAGACGAATCAAAGGATGGTAATAAAAGCACTGAAGAAATTTCGCCACTCTCTGATGAGAATAACAAAAAGCCCAAGAAGGAGAAGGTCAAAAAGAAATGGTCTTTCCGTAGCATTTCATTTGGAAAAAAAGATAAACAAAAGCCAGCTAAGGCCGAGGATGCGGCCACTGAAAATGCGGCAGCTACAAATGGTGATGCCACAGCACAAGTGGGTGATGGTGCTGGCACAGAAGAGGTAAAATTTGATACATTAATTGCATTATTTAATTTTATTTGTATATTTAAATTCTCTGTTTTATTTGTTTCTTTAATAGACGGCTGAAAAAGTGCAAAAAGATGGAGCTGCCGGAGATTCTGAGGAGAAGAATTCTAATGAGCAGCCCACTGAAAATGGCGAGAGCTCTGAAAAAGAAATGAATGGCGAAAAAACGTCAACATCTACTACACCAGTTGAAGAGCATGCTGCAAAGGAAATCTCTTCCAATGAAAACACCACCAACATCACAAACAACACCACCGAAACAACAAGTTCAGTTGTAATTGAGAATAGCTCAACCACTGCCACTGAAAATAATCAGACTGAGAAGCAAACTACTGCCACTATCACTAATTTAGCTGCAGGTACTCTTGAAAGTGCACCTGCTGTCGTGAGTAATGGTGATACAATCGAGAATAACGGCACTGAAACGTTATCGACAGTCGATGACCAGAAAGATCAAGTAACAGATAAAGCAGCGGACTTGATGGGTGAAACGTCGGACGTTGCCGAAAAAATTAAAAGCATTCCAAATGTTGTAAACGAGATGTCCGATAACAAAGGTGTGCATCAAAATGGTACGAGCGCAAATGGTGACGAACTCGAAACTGAAAATGAGTCCAAATCACAAGTTGAGGTAATATTCCAAACAGATAAAGCTGCCCTCACAGATGAATTAGTTACTTTGAATACCGCTACTACTTCCTCTCCATCCAAAACAACCCCTATTTTAATCCCTGACCCCACCATCAACACCGAATCGACGTTGAACGAAATTAACGAAAAAGTCGAAATAAACAGTGAAAGTATGATTACAGAGTTGACTGATAAACAAATAGAAGAAGCGGCAGTGATTACTGCTGATTGTGCTACAAGCGTTGTGGTAGACGTGACTTCAAAGGCAATCGAACCTGAATCAACATCTACAGTTTCAGTTACAGATCAAACTGAAGTCGCTAATGTTGACACAGGTAAGGTTGAGCCTAACGAGCCTGTAACGGAAATTGATACGAACGCAGATCAATACAAACCCGAAAGCCAATGTGAAGATACAAGCGAAGGTTTAATTGCAGCTGTAAGTGCAACGTCAACGGCTACTGAATCCCCAAAACCTCCTCCGCTACCTGTTTCCCCTCCACCTTCACAAGTATCAGTTTTTGCGTTCAATGATAATAATCAAGTTGAGGAAGAGGGAATATGTGGCACTTCCACGCATATTGCTGCTGAAAAGGAAACATCAGAGCTATCAACATCCGCCATAGTACAACAAAAAGATGCCGATGATATACCAAATTCGCAACTTTATACTGAAGAACCACAACTATGCGTTGAGGATGCCGCCCAACCTTTCACTGAGAATGTTCAATATTCTATTGAGCAAGCCAGCAATAACGAAGATATTAAAAGCGGCACTATTCCCTCTTTAACGGAGACTGCTCCTGTAACATCTGCGCAAAGTCCTCAATCCTATTTCAGTGACCATTGTGACGTTTCTGAAGCGTCAAAAGTTTCACTGGAACAAGTGGAAGAAACTCAACATAACGTATTGACCGTCGAGAAGGATATCGCTGGCGACACTCTTCTCAATTTGACAGAAGAAGTTGTAACAGTTCCTGAACAAGTTTTCGATAATACTGAAGACCAGTTTGTAATGGCGGCGGCAGCAGTTGTAGATGAGATAACTGAAAAAGCTGTAGAGTTAATTCAACAACAAAAAGATATCGAAGAGAATCATCCGGATATTAATGAATCAAACATCAGAACAACAAATGAAGCTATTAAGACTGATAATGAAGATATCGTAATGAACCCAATTGAGGATGGTATTGAAAATAATGAAGTCGTCTCCTTGCATGTGAAGGGTGTCTCGATGGAGGAAATTATTGAGAAAATGGAATCGTCTAATATTAATTGCGAGAAGACAGATTCTGATAAGAATACGCAGTTAACTATTGAGTCACACTTACTTGATAGTCTAAAAATGACTGATAACCATCTAGTGGAGGAGGAAAAAGACTTTGCTACAGAAATGTGTAATCAGACTGTGGTCAGCGTTAATGAGATACAAAATTAATGTTCAAGCGATAAAGAAACACAAAATTTTATATATATATATAATAACGAACTATAAATACAGCACTTTATAAAAGATATGATTAAATTCGAAACGAAAACATGCTGTTTGTGCATCCAAGGTGAATACCAAAATTCAAAACTAAATAAACTAATCGCATTGTTAGAGGTTTAGAAAAAAAATTCAAACAGAATGACATTGTTTGCTAGAAATAAACACATACATACATGCATATATATATCATATGCCATTTTGTTGTACTTGCTTTTCGATAACTGATTGCATGGTTCATAGCGCTGTTATTCGTATTAGATGAATTGATTGGCCGATTGATTTAAAGAAAATACCAAAAATGTTCGCATTTCGGCTAACAACATCGAAATATCTAAAAATGTTTGTACTGTCTAAAATGACTGCAACTATATGGGATTTTTCATATATTTAGGAAAATAATATATAATTTAATGTTTGAGTAACTAAAACTACAAAAAAAATATCAAATTAAGTAATGAGTTATTTTAATACATATATTTGTATTGTAGATCAACAGATTTAGACGCGAACTGAGGGTTCCTATTAATTAAGAAAAGCATTTACAAAAATTAATTGGTCAACAATTCATTCGTAAAATCGTTACTAACAAACGCCTTTGTATAACATTTTTGAGCTACGCAACTAAGTAACATTTTTAAGATGTGTATTAACCATTTGTTTATTGTTTAATATACATTTTCTTTCGATACATATTCAAAAAATATTACACAGTAATATGCAACAAATGTCTAAACCAATTTAAAAATTTCTATATACATACTTATCAAAACCACTCTATGTTTATCTTGTCAAGCAAAATTGAAATTAATAAAATTCATCTTCCGAACTCGAAACATTTTTCTACGAATAACTGTACGCATTTCAGTAATGCCCTGCACCAATGCAATCACTCATATTAAACGTAAAAAAAAAAAAAATAAAACATCTTCAAATGTGCTGTATTCTATTCGCCTTACTCCTCATCCCGTGAGTGTCTTATTTTTTTGTTTTTTTTACATTTACATGTGCTAACTCTTTGATTAGTGCCAAATTCCTAGACGCCTTTCCCTTCTCTATATTTAAACATTTTTGTAGGCATAACTTTGACGCATTATTCATATGTTAAATTTAAATATGGAAACGTTTTTTTATGATGTTTATTTATGTTTCATTTAAATAAACTTCTAGTTTGCTCTTAT